CCCCCCGGCCCCCGTCCACGGCCACCCCGCCTCCCCAGAGCCCGCTCACTCACCAGGGGGCCCCCTTCTCCAGGAAGGCCAGGTTCTCCAGCTTCACCAGGCTCACCCTAAGAAGGAGACGCAGTGGTCATGGCAGTGACAAGAGCAGTAGCTACAGCGTCAAGCATTGACCAAATCCTCCTTGATGGTGGGCACCAGGGCAGGGGGGTCCAGGGGGTGAGACAGGGGTCACTGTCCTCTGATGGCTCCCAGGATGGGAGGACAGGCATGTGAGGAACAGCTGTCACAGTCAGGGCAACAGCAGGGACAGTGACTGACGCCCGTGATGGACACACGTGCCGAGCGTGTGTCAGTGGCTTTCCGGAGGCGAGCTTTAGAGGACAAGTATGAGAAGCTGGGTGAATGGGGTGGGAGAGCGCTGCCGGTGGAGACAGAGAGATGCCCCTGAGCAGAGGTGGGGCGCCACTGGTTTGTGCCTGAGCAATGCACCTCCCTGTTAATTTTCACATCACAAAAAATGGACAGCAATGGAAGACTTCTCTCAATTTAACGGCTGATGTCTGAAAGAAAGTTCTGGAAATGGTGTCCAGGGGACGCCAATGGGTGGAAGCACATCACGTCTTCCCTTTTTCCCCAGTGAACTCGGATACGTGCTTTAAAAGCAGTGTGAACTTGTGAGCAGTGGAGTGGAGATATGGGCACCACAATGCCTGCTGCACACATGTGTGTACAGGCATGTACAGGCATGCACACGTGTGCACACGTGAGCCTGGCATGCTCATCAGCCATCTCCAGGACCCAAGCTCTAAAGTGAATCAGGTCAGATGACCAGGACCCTGGGCTATGAGAAGATAAGATTTCGTGGCCATGGAAACTGCCAACATAGCAACCACAGCACATGAAGGAACAGATAAATCTGTCTCTGAGCTAATCCCACTGGTGCTTGTATCGTTTGCAAATTCTGCAAAAGGTTGTCATGGGCAAAACGGTCCCGGCTCCCAGTCACTGCATGGATCTTCTAAGCTTCAAATGCACCTGACTGGGACAGCCTGGCAAGGCACCTGCACGCCGTCCACGAGCTGGTGGGACACACACAGGTATATGCGCGTGCACCACACCCCCCGGCATCTCTCCCCGCCCCTCCCCAGCTGTCCCCGCGCGCATGTCAGACACAACAGTTAAGGGGCCTGAGTCACCTTCTCTCCCACTGCACCAGGGTTGCCTATTCCACCTGGGGGACCTTGTGGCCCATCGGCACCTGGAGCTCCAGAGGGTCCTCGGGGGCCAGGGGGACCTGGAGGGCCCTAGGAGAAGGAGAGCCATTGAACACAGACAAAATGCAAAACTTTCACCCAAACAGAAACCAGCTGCCATGGCCGGGGCCCAGCCACACTTACCATCTGACCCACGTCCCCCGTCTCGCCCTTCTCTCCTGGAGGTCCCGGCAGACCCTGAGAACAGGAATAGTCAGGAATGTGTAAGAGTGTGCGTGCATGAGTGTATGTGACAGGCCGGTGCCGCTCCATCCAGCACACGGCTCTTACTGGCTCCCCAGAGACTCAGGAGGGCACTTCTAGTCGCACCGCTAGATCTCAGGATGTCCTGTGACTCCAGGTCTCAGAATTAGCTCAAGGAAATATTGCGTTGTCAGAAAAGTCATGACGTATTTTTTTCTATGTTTTTTGTTGCAAAAATGAGTCATGACTTTTCCGACAGCCCAATAATTAGAGAAATACGCAGGTTTGCGGACAGAGGTGCTTATTGTCCCATAAAACAATAAAACCTGATGAGCCAACAGCTGGGAAGTGCTTGCATTTATGTTGTCACCACCATGTGCTGGAATCTATGTAATGACTAAAAATCATGTTTTCCAACATAAATAAAACTGACGTGTTCAAAGAGTACTTATTGACATTCAACATGACCCGCGATGTGAAATGGAATGGGAGATGCTGGGTTTAAACTTCCCATGCACACGACATGACTCAGATTTTGCAAAAGCCAAATAAAGTGACACGTGTGCACACACATGTGTGAATACAAGCACTTAAGAGGTAGGAACATGAAACATGCTCAAACGTGTGCAGCTCTCATTCCTAGGTGGTATGTTTAGAAGTCATTTGTGTTTTCCTTTTTTACAATTTACCAGTAGTTTCCAATACTTCTATGAGAATATTGAAATGTCTATGAGCATGGCCATGTCAATCCTGTGAATTTATGGGGAAGCCCCAGGAGGCCCCTTGCAGGCTAGCCTTAGTGTCCTCATTTTTAAGAAGATGGAGAGGAGGGCAGGGCAAGGCAGCGGGGAGGGGAGAGGAAGGTACAG